AGTGACTGTTCTGTTTCAGACAGGATAGCGTGGGGTTACTTAGTTCAGCAGAATTTTACTGAGTGACTGTTCTATTTCAGATAGGGTGCTAGCTGCTGAGGATACAGAAGGAGAAAATGGGAGAGTCTGTATTACGTTTGAGCAAGGGCTGAGAAAGAAAAGAAGGGAAAAAGGAAGTTGGCAGATACACTCCATCTGTACACATACACTCCTTGTCTCCATCCCTAAGTCCCCGCTTGTTTAAGCCACTGCAATTCAACTTTGGCTCCTTCAACCTAACAGTACACTAATGAGAGCCTCCAGAAGACCTTCCAATTTTCAGATCCAATGGGAGAATTTCAGTCCTCGTTTCAATTGAGCCTGTAGAGCACTCCCTCCTTAGGTTCACTGATATTGTTAGCTGCTTCATCTAGGCCAGCCCTTCTTATCATCAGTTGCCCTCTTAAATGCTGATGCATATCAGGATTTTGTCCCTAATCTTGTCTGGATGATCTCCCTGTTTACGTCTACAGCCAGAACTTCCACCTACATGAGCTGAAGACTCCCAAATCCCCAAGGAACAAATGAGGTCTCTGTTTTCCTCTCCAGCTTCATCTCCTGTATTAGCAAATTACTAGCATTTCTGTAATGGTGGTTTAGTCTCTTCTCGTCTGTATCTTATTTCCCTCTAATTCCTTGACTCATGCCAAGTTTGTTCTTCAAGATTCAACCTTAGTGTTCCCTTCTGGCAAGCATGGTGGGTGCTCTCCCTTGATGCTCCCCAACACACTCTATCAGTGCTTCCAGTAATCAGTGTACTTGACTATTCTGCTCTACTGCTCTCCTTGAAGGCATGATTTTTTTCTTTTTTGAGACCAAGTCTCACTCTGTTGCCCAGCCTGGAGTGCAATGGCACGATCTTGGCTCACTACAACCTCTGCCTCTCAGGTTCAAGCAATTCTCCTACCTCAGCCTCCTGAGTAGCTGAGATTACAGGCACACGCCACCACAGCTGGCTAATTTTTGTATCTTTAGTAGAGACGGGGTTTCACCATGTTGGCCATGCTGGTCTTGAACTCCTGACCTTAGGTGATCCACTAGCCTTGGCCTCCCAAAGTGCTGGGATTGCAGGCGTGAGCCACCCCATCTGGCCAAAGGCATGAAATTAATCTGCATTTGCAGTTCACAGCACAGGGCTCAGTAAATATTTGTTAAATTGAAGAATGTAAGAAAGTCCCAAGCTGTGAACAGTTAAGCACAGAAGATACGGTTGAGGTGGTTGTGAACCCAGGATATTTAAAACTTGAGGACTTAGATTCTCTTTCTTTCCTTCCATCCAGGCGGCCAGGACTGGCAGGCCATCAGGGTCAGAGCCAAGGAGATGGATTGGGGCTGAGGAGGCAGCCAGGGTGGCCAGCTGGCAGGGTAGGAAATTGGTTACACACAGGAGCAAGGAGTAATTACATTGAGATAAACACTGGAATGAAACCTGTGGTATTGAATTGCAATCAGAGATACAGTTTGAACTCATAATAAACAAATATATATGTGTATACACATTTACATGGTGCATATATACACGTGTTTTTCTCTGTGCTCTGAGAAGGCCTTTAAACAACGATGCCCCAATAGCATTGATATACCTAATTCCCCACCTTGGTTTTTAAATATTCTCCATTAAAAGGAATCAAGAGGCTCCTTAGAGAAATGGCTGATTCCAGGGGCTGGGGCCAGGAAAAATCTTTAATTAAAAAAATATATAGATACAGGGTCTTGCTATGCTTCCGAGGCTGGTCTCAAACTCCTGGACTTAAGCGATCCTCTCACCTCATCCTCCCAAAATGCTGCGATTACAGGTGCAAGCTACTATGCTCAGCTAATAGATGGCAGTTTTGTGTCCGTTAATTTTCTGATTTTGATAGTTGTAATGTGGTTATGTAGAATGTCTTTAAGAAATTTACGCTGAAGCATATAAGGGTAATGGGGTATCATAACTACAATTCATTCTCAGATGATTCAGAAAAAAATGTGTATGTGTGTATATATATATATATATATATATATATATATATATATATATATACATCCCCCCACACAGAGAGACACAGGGAGAGAAGGGGAATGATAGTGCATATATGGAAGGAGGGAGACAGACAGACAAAGCAAATGTGGTTAAATGTTAACAACTGAGGAATCTGGTGAAGGAAATATAGGAGTTATTTGGGCTACACTTGCAACTTTTTTGTAAGTTTGAAATTATCTCAAATTTTAAAATGTAAAGTTTTTGTGTTTTTTGAGACGGAGTCTCGCTCTGTCGCCCAGGCTGGAGTGCAGTGGTGTGATCTCGGCTCACTGCAGCCTTTGTAGGTCAAGAGTTCGAGACCAGCCTGGCCAACAAGGTGAATCCCCATCTCTACTAAAAATTACAAAAATTAAGCCAAGCTTGGTGGTGGGCACCTATAGTGCAAGCTACTCGGGAGGCTGAGGCAGGAAGAATTGCTTGAACCCAGGAGGTGGAGGTTGCAGTGAGCTGAGATCACACCATTGCACTCCAGCCTGGGCAACAAGAGCAAAACTTTGTCTCAAAAACAAAAACAAAAAAAGCTGAATATAAACTTGCTAATCTGAATCATGCATAAAAGGATTTTTGCCGGTTTGCCCACCCTCATCTTGTTCTAAAAATGATTTATAGAGGCTTATCAATATGTTAAAAAATATAACAAGATAAATTGAAAATGAAGAAGAAAGATGTATGACACTGGCCAGAACCTTCTAAATTGTCAAATTCTACAAAATACTGTTGAAAATGTGATTATGTGGGGAGGTTTCACCTCGTTTTGGGAAACAGCTCCAACTTCAACACAGCTATTAGTTATTTTGTGTTTCTGATATCCTTTTATTCAAAACTTGACCAGCAATTAGACACAGAGAATAAACTATCGGGATACAGAGGCAGAAAATAATTATCAATAAGAACAAAGAACAGACTTTTCAAACACTGCTAAATTTTATGCATGTATACATACTTTATTAAATTTGCATTCGAAGATATACACAAGGCCAGCATTTCACAAAACTTCCTATTATTTCAAAAGCAGTAATCATGAAACAGTGATTATACAAGTTAATCAAGCAAAAAAAATTATAGTTTTATCATATCATCTCTTATACCTGTTTTCAAATAGAAGCCTGAAATATATGATATATATTAGAATAGGAGGAGAGAATTTTACTTTATAACAATCACTTTTCAAACATTAGACTTTATATAAAAATAAAGGGGTCTTATCAACAAAGTTCACCTGGGAGTTAGCCTATGTCTTTATTTTAAAACAATCCCTGCAAAAAAACTTAATTTTCCAGTCCATTTAAACAAAAAAATAACTAAAAATGAACCTTGGGTTAAATAATAAAGTGAATCATCTTGTCTCCTAGTTCTCATACCATTGGAACAATTTCCATTTCCCGACCTAATCCTACACCACTGAATTTCAAAAATTAATGTAAATACCATCATATTTCAGTTATTTCTTAATAGTGTTAAGTTCGAGCCTAAAAGTGATGGCCAAGTGTCCCTTTAAGGCAAAGAAGACAGTAGGTGGATAAATCTCCTGTACGACAAAACTGTCTATTATCATTATAGAGGCAGAAACATTTTGACATGATCTTTTACAAACAGAATAGATACACTGCATACCATCAAAGAATTTTTTCTTTATAATGGCATACTAGGGGACAAGCTTCATAATAGATATATTTATGTTAGGTTTGAAGAAGTAGGGACTTTTCCCAGATGAGAGCAATAAAAGAAATAAAGCCATTAATGGCTGTTACGGTTACAATTTAAAATAAAGGGCACGTCGGCTGCTGTAACAGAACTACTGCACGCTAAGTGATGCTCTCTTGTAATTGAAAGAGAATGGGTTTTCCTTCAAGCCATATGCTATTGCTAGTCTGTGAATGCCTTCAAAGCACATAATCTTCCTTTAAAATCCAAGGATCTTTGCCTTCAAAAGACACAAACGCAGTAGTTTTCATTTCTTACATTCACTTAAAAATGGAATAGTACGATTCCAGCAGGCAAATCTGCATATTAAATATAGACAATCCAACTACAATATCTGAACATTAAAAGAAATCTATCACGACAGACATTTTACCTAGTTATAAAGAACTTAACAGTTGATTACGCTCAGATTTCTTAAACAGCTCACTCAGGAGTTTCCTCTTCTAAAAATTAAATAACGTATGGTACCTCACACTTACAGCATGTACACAGGTCATAGCTGAAACAGCTGCCTAAAAGCAGAATGCACGATCACATTGACTTTTTCAGCTCCTAAAAGCTTCTTTGTAGATATTAAACTGCCCTCACTATAAGGCAGTACGAACAAGAACTGGATTCTGAGTCTGGTGACAACACAATAACTAAAACACCATTCACCACATGACAAAACAAACAAATCCAATGACAAAAAGGAACCGGGAAAAGGCAGCAACAGAAACAGTATGTGGCAATCATATACATAAAGCCCCTCTTCCACCATACCTTATGATATACATCCCTTATAGCACAACAATGTACCCCAAGGCACCTAAGGCCTCATAATACCACCCGAAACACTGACAGCTCCATGGACGCTTTTGTACACAGTGGTTTGTGTGCAAATAACTATTCATTCATTTGTAGATGCTCCACACATCTGGTCAAGGCAGGAATTTCTTCTCCTTGATAACACCACCTAGAAATATCAACAATATTTTATATATTCCTTAGGGCAACAGGTTTGAGGAGAAATAAATCAACTGTGGTACCAAAGTCATAAAAACCTGTGGTGACTAATCCAGGCATCCTGTAAGTCCATTTACCTTCTCAGCACTAAAATCAATGCTCACTTCACACACCCCAACAGCAAAGAAGCAATAAGGGTAATGAAAGCGACTATGTGTTTCTTCCCCTCTGTGAGAAATGGCATAAGCAGCTCAAACAGGAAAGGGAAACAAAATAATGTACTTTAAGCTGATGCAGAAAAATAAAAATTTAATATAATCAAAAGCAATTTATATACTATCATGAAATAAAGAGAGAGAGATTTGCAAATATGTAGTCAACAGAGAACAACAACAACAACAAAAAATCTCTCAAGCAAGAGAATTTCTGATCATATCTGTCATATCACTGCTGGGGAAAAGGATCATTCAAGATAACACACATCAGTGCCTTCCTTAAACGTATAGACTCAAAATAGGTGTTCTTTGAGGCACTAAGAAAAAAAAAAATTCCTCTAAGTAATCAAAAATGAGCATTTGAGATTTAGTCACTAAATTCAAAATGAGATCAGCAAAACCAGGTATTAGTAAGGTCACTAGGCTCACAAAATTGAACTTTGGAGGAAAGAGATGCCAAAGAGTACTAATAGCATCAGAATGGGTGAAATCTGTAAAACTTTAATCCTCATTATGGATCAAAGTTCTCTGCGTTCCCCACTGAACATTTTATGTAGGAAACAGCAGTTAAAACGCTGAATCAGAAATGGTTAAGTCACTTGGGTGAGAGATCATCCATCAAGATGAACGAAGAACATGAATTGGAGCATGCTACTGGAGACTCTGCGGTAGCGCTGCCTTTAGCCAGCGGGTCTGAGGATAAGCCACTGCTGCTACTACTGCCATCCAAAATATCTGAACTGAAGACAAAGCAAAAAGAATTATAAGCAAATGCAACTATCAGGGTAAACATAACATGCAACGACACAGTTTCAAGAGCTCACAAATCAGTAGATCACTTGTAAATAATAAAAAAAGCATCAAAGCCACAGCAATGAACTACATAATATACTACATTATAAAGCCACAAAAATGCAAAGTGAGACTCTTCAAGGTCCTGTATCATTTGAGTGTCCCCCCTGGAGGCACCAGACTGTCCAACCTACAATAAACGTTCCTCTTGACATGCCATGGTTTTCGGGAGGGAGTTCCTTCACTTCACTTCAGCTCAAGACATTTCTATCCTTATATTTACCTTTTTACCTTCCCATCAGACTTGGAGCAAGAGGAATGATTATTTATTGAGGTAACCATACTTGGACTATCTGAGGTGTTCGATCAAGTACACTGCCTCATAGTTCCTCTACTCTAAACAAAGTCTTTCGAGTCCCCAAGTGTTTGATCACTTCCCTACTCCCAAAAGGGCCTTCAATCCAAACACATTTTTTAAATTATTTCCCTCTCCCATTCTATGCCGTTTATAATTCCTTACACTGTTTCCTTTCTTTTTGCTTTCAAAACCCAAAGGTCTATTTTTAGAAGATTCCATTTCTTTGATCCCTTCAGTTATTCTCCAGTTAAGCTTCTAAAATGAATACTCTACACTCATGCTCTCAATACCCATAGTCGATTGCCTCTTTAATCCTGACAACTGGCTCTTGTTCCTACCCTTCCAGTAGAACTCCGGATCTGGACATCAAGAACCTCTATACCCAGCCCAGTGATTCCTTCCCTACCCGGCTTATTGTTCCCAGCCATCAACCTGGCCTGCATCATGAATCTGGCTCCATACTTCAGCCGGGAACGGAGAGCCTTTGCAGTCTGGCATCAAGCTGCCTTTCTGGCTTTGACTTCCATCAATCCAATAATAAGCTCTATGGTTTATATTTGCCCTCAATTCATTCACTTATTCTAATATTTACCGAGCACCTGCCAGGTGCAGGAAGCACACTGGATGTTAGAAATACAATGGTTTTGGCCAGGCATGGTGTGGTTCATGCCTGTAATCCCAGCACTTTGGGAGGCTGAGAAGGGTGGATCACCTGAGGTCGGGAGGTCAAGACCAGCCTGACCAACATGGAGAAACCCTGTCTCTACTAAAAATACGAAAAGTTAGCCAGGCATGGTGGCACATGCCTGTAATCCCAGCTACTCAGGAGGCTGAGGTAGGAGAATTGCTTGAACCTAGGAGGCGGAGGTTGCGATGAGCCGAGATCGCACCACTGCACTCTAGCCTGGGCAAGAAAAGCAAAACTCCATTTCAAGAAAAAAAAGAAAGAAAGAAATTCAATGGTGTTTAAGACAGACATGGTCCCAGCCCTCATTGAATTTACAGTATTGTGCAGCAGACAGATATTTAAATAATCATGTTAATAAATATATAATTTGCAATAAAAGTGATAAAGGAAAGGTACAAGGGGCTATGAGAATTTATAAAATGGGTAACCTAATCTAATTCGGGGAATGAGAAAAGTTTCCCCAGAGATATTTGCTGTAATCTGAAGGATGAGTTAAGGTTTGGGAGGAAGCAAAGGTAGTTCTAGGAATCAAAAGCAGGCTATTGTGGCTGGGGTACAGAGAGTGAAGAAAACACAGTGACAAACAAAGCGAGAGAGGTAATGGGCAGCTGCAGAATTTATACAGGCACTTTTTATTTTTGAAAAGGAAAACAGCATCGAATTGGAGAAGGAATTACGAGTCAGGAAATATGGGTTCTAATTTAAGTTTGGTCACTAGCACCTTTGAAAAAGCCCATCCTAGTCTAACATGTTCTCAATCGAAATGTTATGAATCTTTAATAATCATTTTTCTGAATTTCCAAGTTAATGTATTTCCAGTGTTAAAAGTAACCTATGGTACATTTGAAAGTTTCTGGGCCCTATACTACCCTCAATGAAATATATCACCCCCACCCCTTGCTTCTCTACTCTTTCTACTTTTCTTCAAAATGTCATTTCATTCTACTGCTTGTAGATTGTTTTTAGGTGGAGACAGACTACGAATAGGCTTTGGAAAAGTAAACATAAAAATGGAAACAGTGTATTCCACACTACGCCTACTCTATGCTCACTGCTGTCAAATGCATCATTAATAATACCACTTTTAAGTAAGAACTTTGGAAAATTTAGCTGGCTCTGATGTTTTTTCAACCAAATGGCAAAATGGGTCTAAAATATGAATTACTCACACTACTAAAAGAAAGTTGCACAGATAATCCAAGACATTGGAAAATCAAAAGACCTTTCTATTTGCCTTTGGAACATATGTGATCTTTCCTCCTGCAGCTTTTTGCCTAGACTAATATTAAAATGAATTTACTTTCCTAAAGCACATATTGGCTGGGCAGCCGAAGGACATGCTCTATGCTACTTGGCAGGAAGAAATGGGCTTAGATTAAAATTTGGCCACCAAGCAGATAATCTGAATATAAATAAAGAATTCTTTATTCTATCCACCAGACTTACGGTGAGCCCTGGGTTAAGAGATTCCATTTGTAATAAGACCTGCCTACTTCGGTGAATCCTGTATTCATTCAAAAACACAAAACTCATATAGCGAAATTTGACTTCTAACACTACTGATTACCTTAAGAGAAATAAACTAATGGAGGAGCGGGGAAAAAACAAAAACAAAAACAAAAACAAAAAAACCCTGAAAATTTCATTTCAGAATGTCTTCCCTATTATTAAAATATAAATGTATATAATTGTGTTCGTTAACAGAAAATAGCACACTTACATTTAGTCTCCACTGCAACTTAGATTCAGAACTTGGTAAATCTTTAACCAGACATTTTCAGTAAATTAAAATCTAGTTTCCGTTTGAATTAATCTGGCACAATTACTCATGGTCATGGAAGCAGAGACTTCACGTCACAAATCACTCAGTGTTGTTCTATCCATGTCAAGTAAGACTTACATGATTTTTTAACCCACAGAAGCATCACTACACAAACGTAATTTTTACAGCGTCTACTATTAAATCTTCTTCCAGAGCTTCTAAAAGCAGAGGTCTGGTCTAATTTGAGTTTCTCTCTTCTTTCTTTCCCAGCTTAAGCTCTGATGGAAGTGCTAATGAGCCTTACTTAGACTAATGGCTGAAAGCCAGACAATAGTAAAAAAGGATCTAGACAATTCCAATTGGACACAGGAATCCCTGAATCAAAACTGAACGAATTCGTTCCCGCCACTGAATATACATATTGGGGCAATATTTGAACCACACAACCAAAAGCACCTATGACTTAAAGTAGTGTCTTAAACTAAAGATGAAGTATGAGTGACTCATTAAATCAGTCCAATGATAAGGTAATAACAAAAGTAGGATATCCAGTGTGATTCATGCTGTCACCCCATCTGGGTGAGCCACTTTGTGCCTTGTCCAGTCAATAAGCGGGGCTCTATCAGATTAATGACAGGCAGGTAAATACACTAGAAATTAGTGACAGCCCTACCAAGCCTAGCAGAGATTTTGGTATAAGGTATGATGACAGGGCATCCGCACCCGGCTTGCTGTGGGTTAAACGAATATATACGGCATGTTCTCTCGTCTCTACTATCTTGCCTTAAGGCTCACAGTATTATCCTTCTGAATAACCTCTATGTTTTTAAGATCACATATTTAAATATCGGTCTGCAGTCATGCCGAGGACAGGAGTTCTTTTTTTCTTTTTTTAACTTGCTCATTTTTATGGTGGAAGTGGACAGGAGTTTTAAACTATCAGCACAGATGTCTAAGTTGCTCATATCAACATCTCTAAAGTATACTCTGTGTGTGTGTATACATATACTTTAGAGATGAATGTGTATACATACACAGACATACACATTCCTATTAATTTATTAATGACTAAAACTTATTTTTTGTACCTGTCACATGTTCATGATGAAATTCTGACATGACACATATAACATTAAAAATAATGTTAGAGGCCAGGTGCAGTGACTCACACCTGTAATCCCAGCACTTTGGGGGGCCGAGGTGGGCGAATCACCTGACGTCAGGAGTTCAAGGCTAGCCTGACCAACAAAGAGAAACTGCATCTCTACTAAAAATACAAAATTAGCCAGGCATGGTGGCACATGCCTGTAATCCCAGCTACTCAGGATGCTGAGGCAGGAGAGTAGCTTGAACCCGGGAGGTGGAGACTGTGATGAGCTGAGATCACACCATTGCACTCCAGCCTGAGCAACATGTTAGAACCACTAAGACAAATTTAACAAAAAATGTGTTAAAACTATCACATTAACACTGACGCACAGAGTAAGAAAATTCATGAGAGAAGCTTTCCTTTCATGAAAAAGAAACAGACTATCACTTAATTGTCACTGTGCGGCCAGCAGCCCCGAAAACTCCTTTATTTTATATAGTATGCTGCAGATACACACAGTCTCACTCCCAACACAATGAAGAGCAGATTAAGAGCTCCCAACATGCAGAAAGAATCAAAGCACAGACAAAGGTAGACTTCTGAGTTACGCTCAAATTTTGATGTCCATAAGGACTAAATGCAAAGTGACATAATTCCTGCCTTGTGGTTGATAATGTCCTCCAGATTTGGTTGGCAAAGATTTAAGAATTTTCATTTAGTAAAATGAATCAATAAACAAAAAGTATGCCTAACTGGATACAAACTCCAAATGGGTCCACACTCAAATCTCAAATTTAATTTATGCTTCAAAGACGTCAGCTTTTAAAGATTGTAATATATAAACTTTATATAATATATAAACTTTAAAGGCTGTAAAAGCCATCTCTCCTTTTGCTGGGTGGGGCAGAGAATAAACTATAAAGATTTAAATTATAAGATAACATCTACTAATGATCTGATCCTTTTACTGCTCTCTAAAAGGCAGCTGTTTCTGTAGTTTTCTTAAAATAGTGATTAAAACCATCGAATGATAGAGTATCACAAAACTAAGATATTTGGTGTGATTCATGCTATCACCCCATCTGGCTGAACCACTTTGTGCCTTGTTCAGTCAATAAACTCAGTTCTATCAGATTAACAGCAGGCAGGTAAATAAACAAAAAAATTAGCCACAGTCCTATTAAGTCTAGCACAGATTTCTTAGTTTTGTTATCAAGCAGATTGCCACCCGTGGTAGCAGAAACCAGAACACAGCTGGTTCCTATCTCTGTCCCCATTTCTAAAAATAGGAATGTCTGATTCTGATTAATGAAACTGCATTCAAAAGACTGGGTACGGTGGCTCCCACCTCTAATCCCAACAGTTTTGGAGGCGAACGCATGTGGATCACTTGAGCACAAGAGTTCAAGACCAACCTAGCCAACACAGCAAAACTCCGTCTCTACAAACACAAAGATTAGCTGGGTGTGATGCTGTGCACCTGTAGTCCCAGCTACTTGGGAAGGTGAGGTGGGTGGATAGCTTGAGGCCAGGAAGCAGAGGTTGCAGTGAGTTGAGCCACTGCACTCCAGCCTGGGCAATAGAGCAAGACTCCATCTCAAAAAAAAAAAAAAAAAAAAAAATAGAATAAAAAGTTTCCTTCATCACCAGTGTTGATGTTCCCAAGGCTCTCCTAGCCGTTCATGGGTCTACGGAGTAGGGGAGTAGTGACAAGGAAATAGAAGCCTCACAATAGCCACTGCTAGAGATGAAATCATCTCTAGGTTTTGCTGCTCAGAGGAATAAATGTCTGGACAAGGAGAGAAGACCCTTCGTAAATATTTTTTCTCTTTCCTTTCTTATTTGCGTGAACCTGTTTTATGGCATCCTGCACTGTGAGCCAAAGACAATATAAAAATAAGTCACCTTACCCTGTATGTTTGGTTTTTTTTTTGTTTGTTTTTGTTTTTTTTTTCTTTGAGACGGAGTTTCACTCTTGCTACCCAGGCTGGAGTGCAATGGCGCGATCTCGGCTCACCGCAACCTCCGCCTCCTGGGTTCAAGCAATTCTCCTGCCTCAGCCTCCTGAGTAGCTGGGACTACAGGCACGTGCCACCATGCCCAGCTAATTTTTAGTATTTTTAGTAGGGATGGGGTTTCACCATGTTGACCAGGATGGTCTCGATCTGTAGACCTTGTGATCCACCCGCCTCAGCCTCCCAAAGTGCTGGGATTACAGGCTTGAGCCACCGCGCCCGGCCCCCTGTATGTTTTTAGCTTGGTAAAATGCTGCCGTATCTTTTACTTAACTTGGTCACTTGGTTAGTAACTAGGTAAGCAAACCTATTTATAGTCATGTGCCTATATTAAAACACACTTTACCATAAAAGTGATATGCACTTTCCACTAAGGATAGAGTTTCATCCAACAGTCCTCTTGACAAGCTTCAGAAGTTTTCTCTTTGCCATCATCTACATACCTGGAAAGGCACTCTGTACCAAAATTAGCACACTGAAGTAGTAAGGACAGACACAGATGAAAGGAAAAAGAGACCGTGGGCTGAAAATAGCTAGAACAATCTAAAAGGCATCTGTCCCAAGGTTGCAACAGTACTGATCAACAAGACTAATAAACTAGAATAATCTGTGACTTCCTGGTCAACTAGAAGTACAGGTTATTTCACACGGAACAATGAATAAGTGATTCAGGAAGAAGGGATCGTCCATCCTTATACCTTATAAGTGGCTTATACACTTCTTCCATTTAGAGGGTATGATCTTGCTAATTTTAAAGTGAGTGACTTTGTGGGCTTTTTAAAAAGACTGTCAGGCCAGGCGCAGTGGCTCACACCTGGAATCCCAGCACTTTGGGAGGCTGAGGTAGATGGATCACCTGAGTTCAGGAGTTTGAGACCAGCCTGGCCAACACGGCGAAACCCTGTCTCCAATAAAAATACAAAAAAAAAATAGCTTGGCGTGATGGCCCATGACTGTAGTCCCAGCTAATCGGGAGGCTGAGGCAGGAGAATCTCTTGAATCCAAGAGGCTGAGGCTGCAGCGAGCCAAGATCACACCAATGCACTCCACATTGAGCTACAGAGTGAGCCTATCTCAAAACAATAAAAAAACACCTTCATCCATAAAACTCAGGTAACAAAAAAATTATGAGAAGCAGTACACAATTGATTACACAAGTATTAGTGAGTTGATCAGAACATACTCAAAGATTTCAAATTATTACCTGGTCACTGCTACTTATCCCTTCCCCTTCCTTCCAATATGTACATAAGCACTCAAGTGCTCAACTTCAGGTATAGGAAAAGAAGTTCACTTTCTCATGAAAACGCTGAAGGCCCTTAAGTTAAAGATCTAAACAAGGATGAGTATGATTTTAAAAACTTGTGTGTGACTAGACCGTAGATTTTGTTATTATAAAAATCAAACCTTAGCATTGTGATGAAATATCTCATAATTTTCAAAAAGATAACAATAGATAATGCTAATCAGAGAATGTCATGCTTGCGAGAACCTTGATATGCTCTAAGTCTAAAGGACCTGATACAAAATGCAGGCAGAGCAGCTACAATCAGTACACATTACCCACAGCCACCCAGAGACTCTTTCTCACACCAGCCAGCAGTTGACACTTTGCTACACATTGGCAACTAATGACAGGCTGACCTAGCAGGAGCTCAGAAGGAAAGCAAAGGTGTCAGAAAGACATACACATTTCCAAATGAAGTACTCTTGACTTTTGAGTGATCTGTTTTTTCACATTATCCTCCATAGAGATTTCCCCTTCATGGGAGCATGGATAAGAAGTTGAAAACATTTTAAATTATCCCAATATGCTTTCAATGTGACTCTTTTAAAATGGATCATGCTCTAATATCCTTTTCATTTTACTTCATTCGTTTACCATGAACTGAGATCAGACAGTTGCGCGGCCTCCGGAGACAGCATATTGGTAGTGCCTTGAAAGAGTCTCTTGGGCTGACTTTCCGTCTCCATTTCACCTAAAACGGAAAAAGATGCTGCTGCTATAAAACAATTTTACAAATACAGGTGTGGTGCTAAAATGGGATGATCTTTGTTTAACCAAAGCTCAGAATACTTCTTCAAACCATTGCTTAAAAGCGATTTTCCCATGTGCTTTATATGAAAGAAACACGTTGCCACATAAACTCAACTAAAAGCTCAGCAGCCCTAAAAAAAGGTCACTCATTATCCACAGCGTGCTACGTACATACTCACATTAATAGGAAAGCAGAACACTGACTGCATCAGGCAAAACGAAGCAAGGCTAACCACAGCAGAGATCCAGAATTCCCAAACAGCTGCAACTCACAGTGAATATTTTATGCTAGATGGTTAGCAAGGCCTTTTTATATATTTTGATATCTGAACATTTCCTGAGATGCTGTCAAATTGGTTAAAAAATGTGTAATCCGATAAGTAGTGTATAAGTAAAAAACTGCTTTCACACTATTTAGTGAAAATGAAGATTAAAAAGGTAAGTCTGAAAACACATCTGTAATCAAAAGCAAATCTTACTCAATTCACAAAACTGGTATTGTACCGACCATCTCAATCCTACAGATTTTCTCGGAATTGCTAATAGAAAAACTTTGCACCAACAGGGATAATGCTTAACATTTTGCTACCAGAGTACGAAGAGTAAAACCCTAAGTTAGAATAAGCTCCTTTAAAAACAGGCTCTGATTTCATTTCAAACATGCACATTCCTTGGTTCTGAAGCTCTTCATCTGACCTTGAAAACGGAACGTTCAAAACAATTTAATTCATGAGCCTGTCTATACTCCAGTAGAAAATTAGTAACTTCGAACTTAAAAGTATACAAGATTCTTAGAATGAAAAAAGATCAAGCAAGGACAAACGCAACATTCACTTTGTCCATGTTATCAGTTAATTCATATTATCTTTCCTCTGGAACGATTCTGAAAAATGCTGAAAATCGGGAGAAGTTGGTTTTTTCGACCCTCTAAAATGCAGCTTTTAAAAGCTGCTGCTGGGCTTTTGAGTTCACCTCGCTAGCAAAAGACTAAAGCCCTTTTGAGCAAAGAATTCCTCCATCTGGTGGTGTATTTCGGAATAGCTGTAAAACTAAACCACCATACTAATTCCTTCAACTTCCTGCAACAAATTTTAAGTTAATAATAATAACAACAATAATAGCTTTATTTCCAACTGTTATTTTCACTTACTAGCTACTGAGAACATTCCCAGGTTTACAAATAACTCCCTACAAGATTAAGGGAAGACTGTTTATAACATAAAACTTACAGACTAAATACAAATACTGTCACCATATCAGTAACTATTTTCCAGAGCACACCATCTTTAATTTTAAGTTGTCTGAAATATAGCACTGCTGGAATCTGTGTACGATCCTATGACTGGAAAGTTTTGAAAGAGACAAATACCTGTTCCCCTAACAGAAAAGTTAGTCTCTTTATTGGCCCTGAAGGTGATCTGCATAAAGAAATCACTTGCTGAATTGCTTTTAAAAGTTATTCTTGGCCACACCTGTAATCCCAGCACTTAGGGAGGCCGAGGCAGGCAGATCACCTGAAGTCAGGAGTTCGAGACCATCCTGGCCAACATGGCAAAACCCCATCTCTACCAGAACTACAAAAATTAGCCAGGCGTGGTGGTGCACACCTGTAATTCCAGCTATTCGAAAGGCTGAGGCAGGAGAAATGTTTGAACCCGGGAGGCAGAGGTTGCAGTGAGCCAAGATCACACCACTGCACTCCAGCCTGGGTGACAGAGCAAAACTCCATCTCAATTTGCAAAGAAAAAAAAAAAAAAAAAAAACAAGTTATTGTTATTAGCTGGGTGCAGTGGCTCACACCTGTAATCCCAATACTTTGGGAGGCCGAGGCAGGAGTTCGAGACCAGCTCTGCCAACATGGCAAAACCCTGTCTCTACTAAAAATACAAAAATTAGCCAGGCATGGTAGCTCACTCCTATAATCCCAGGTACTTAGGAGGCTGAGGCAGGAGAATCGCTTGAACCTGGGGGGCAGAGGTTGCAGTAGCTGAGATCCCACCACTGCAATCCAGCCTGGGTGACAGAGTGAGACCCTGCCTCAAAAAAAAAAAAAAAAAAAAAAAGTTATTGTGAAGACTCTTTTTAACAACACCTGACAGTTCGAAATCATATAGTCACATCCCCAGCAATGATGAGTAAACCCTGTGTTGCTGGCCGGGCAGGGGCTCACACCTATAATCCCAGCACTGTGGGAGGCCAAGATGGGTGGATCACATGAGATCAGGAGTTCAAGACCAGACTGGCCAACATGGTGAAATCCAGTCGGTACTAAAAATATAAAAAAATTAGCCAGGTGTGGTGTGGGGACGGGCGCCTGTTATTCCAGCTACTCGGTAGGCTGAGGCAGGAGAATTGTTTGAACCAGAGAAGTAGAGGTTGCAGTGAGACAAGATCACACCACTGCACTCCAGTCTGGGTAAAAGTGAATCTCCAAAATAAAAAACAAAACAAAAGCAAAAACCTGTGTTGCTTTTTTTTTTTTTTTTTTTTTTTTTTTTTTTGAGACAGGGTCTCACTCTGTGGCCCAGGCTGTGATCTTGGCTCACTGCAACGTCTGCTTCCCGGGCTCAAGCAATTCTCCAGCCCCAGCCTCCTAAGTAGCTGTGACTAAAGGCGTAAGCCACCAACGCCTGGTTAATTTTTGTATTTTTTGTAGAGATGGGGTTTTGCCATGTCTCAACTCCTGAGCTCAATGCAATTCTCCCGCCTCGGCCTCCTGAAGTGCTGTGATTACAGACCTGTATTGCCTTTTTAAGAACAGATGCCATCAGTACCCTTTATAAGCATCTACCACTAGTGTTGATTAATGCTAAACTAAACTATTTGAGTCTACTGCTTTGTGGTTCAAAATAAGGTAACTGAGAGCATCCTGTTATATAAAAAATACTCTATAGAATTGAATATAAGGCAGTTCTTGCTTTGATGAGGCATAATTTGAAGAGAGGGTAAACCTCACCTTGTATTTCAGTATACAGAACATTACGGATATGTTTGCTATGGCATTAGCATATATTTCTGCAGTTGATAAACTATGCATCTCTTTCATATTCGGATCACTGAGTCAATTTTTGAATATATAATGATAATATGAATATATGAATAAAACTTATGAAGTATAAGAAAATATAAATATATCAAATAACTCATTTACAAAATTAAGAATCAGTAGAGCAAATATTTGGAAGAATTCCCTAGAACACAAGAGAGCAATGCTGTTAGCTCATTTCAGACAGGAGTTCTAGTTGTTAATTCAAGCTTGGCTAGGTTTAAGACCAGAAGCACAATGCATATCTTTTTTTCTTTTTCCCCCTCAGCTTTACTGAGATATAAATGACAAATAAAATTATATATTTAAGGTATACAATGTGATGACTCGACGTACGTACATACTGTGAAATGATGATTACAGTCAAGTTTTTTTGTTGTTTTTTTTGTTGTTGTTGTTGTTTTTTGAGACAGAGTCTCACTCTGTCACCCAGACTGGAATGCAGTGGCACAATCTTGGCTCACTGTAACCCACGCCTCCGGGTTCAAGCAATTCTACTGCCTCAGCCTCCGGAGTAGCTGGAACTATAGGCATGCACAACCACACCTGGCTAATTTTTGTATTTTTAGTAGAGATGGGGTTTCGCCACGTTGGCCAGGCTGGTCTCAAACTCCTGATGTGAGGTGATTCACCCTCCTCGGCCTCCCAAAGTACTGGGATTACTACAGGTATGAGTCACCGAACCTGGCCCACAGTCAAGCTTTTTTTTTTGAGATGGAGTCTTGCTCCGTCACCCAGGCTGGTGTGCAGTGGCATGATCTCGGCTCACTGCAACCTCCGCCTCCCAGGTTCAAGCAATTCTCCTACCTCAGCCTCCCAAGTAGCTAGGACTACAGGCGCATGCCACCATGCCCGGCTAATATTTGTATTTTTAGTAGAGACGGGGTTTCACCATGTTAGCCAGGATAATCTCGATCTCCTGACTTCATGATCCACCCGCCTCAGCCTCCCAAAGTGCTGGGATTACAGGCATGAGCCACTGCCCCCGGCCCACAGTCAAGGTTTTAGCATATCTTTTGCTTCTCCTAGTTAACCTTTTGTATGTATGTGGTAAAAACACTTAAGATCTGCCTTCTTACCAAATATCAAGTATATCATACAATAGCATTAACTATCGTCACCATGCTGCTACATACCTTTTCTTTTAAGAGGACCAAGAGCACTGGGTCTAATGCACTTGACTGGACTCTGACTTCTCCTGCTTTGCAGAAAAAACAAACAGGATAATGTGAAGTACATCCAAGATGCAAGATAAAACAGCAGTCCAACCCAACAAGAACACAAATAACATGGACAATAAACTGTATAAATAAAATTACTGAAATGGAAAATTCTTGTGGAATTGAGTAACTGAAATGCCAGTATGTGATTTGACCCAGCATATAGCAACCTGGAATAATACGGCATTTTAAGTCATTTAAATTATTCTATATGACAAAATACCCTTTGAAGAAAAAAGATGCTTTATTTAAAAAGTAATTTGGGGCCGAGCGTGGTGGCTCATGCCTGTAATCCTAGAACTTCAGGAGGCCAAGGCAGGTGGATCATCTGAGGTCAGGAGTTTGAGACCAGCCTGACCAACATGATGAAACCCCATCTCTACTAAAAATACAAAATTAACGGGACCTGATGGCACATGCCTGTAATCTCAGCTACTCGCGAGGCTGAGGCAGGAGAATCACTTGAACTTGGGAGGTTGCAGTGAGCCAAGATCACGCCATAGCACTTCAGCCTGGACAAAAGGAGCAAAACTCGGTCTCAAAAAAAAAAAAAAAAAAAGTAATTTGGATTTGACTGTGAACTTTAACATTTTTCCTTATTCTTAAAAAGGCTGTATAATTGTGGGTGGGTAGGGGGTGGGTGGGTAGGGGGTGGGTGGGTGGGTGGGTGGGTGGGTGGGTGGGTAGGGGGTGGGTGGGTGGGTGGGTGGGTGCGTGCGTGTGTGTGTGTGTGTGTGTGTGTTTCCCCTCTAAATATAAATCAGCATTAAATCCCTTCCAGAAAACTCTGGTAATTTGTTAATGGTAGATTACAGGCAGTGGTATATGGGTGTTCACTGTGAAATTCTTTCAATTTTGATGTCTGAAAATTTCAGCATGAAATATTGGGAAAAAAGATAATTTTTTTTTTTTTTTTTTTAATTTTCAGACAGAGTTTTTGCTCTGTTGCCCAGGCTGGAGTGCAATGGTGTGATCTCAGCTATGCAACCTCCCTCTGCCTCCTGGGTTCAAGCAATTCTCCTGCCTCAGGCTACCTAGTAGCTGGGATTACAGGCATGTGCCTCCACACCTGGCTAATTTTTGTATTTTTAGTAGAGATGGGGTTTCACCATGTTGGCCAGGCTGGTCTCAAAATATTGACCTCAAGTGATCCACTAGCCTCAGCCTTCCAAAGTGCTAGGATTACAGGGGTGAGCCACCGTGCCTGGCCACAAAAAGCTAACCTGAGAGATAAATGTAATGAGTGGCACTTCAGCCACATTTAAAATTCAAGTTTGCTTACCTTGAAAATCGTCTTGAACTGGGAACTGGACTTGATGGCAATCCACTGCTGCTCACAAACATCTGTAAGGATGGGGAAAAGCATTGCTAGAAAAAAATATTCAATATTTAAATAGTTCTAGCACTCCTGTTTTCTTTTTTTTTTCAGAGACAAGAGTCTCTCTTTTGCTTAAGCTGGAGTACAGTGATGAGATCACAGCTCACTGCAGCCTCGAACTCCTGGGCTCAAGCCATCTTCCTGCCCTACCCTTTTGATTAAGTAGGACTACAGGTGTGCGCCACCATGCCCAACTAATTGTTTGTATCTATTTTTTGGTTTTTGTAGAGATGGAGTCTTGCCATGTTGCCCAGGCTGCTCTCGATCTCCTGAGCTCAAGTGATCCTCCCACCTTGGCCTCCCAAAAGAGTTGGGATTACAAGTACAAGCCACCATACCAGGGACCCAGTCATTATCAAAAGGTTCTTTTCTAAAGGACAGAAACGATATCCCTAGAATTGCTTAGCTGTCTGTGTGTCTCATAACTAAATTGTGTGTGTATGTATATGTCTGTATATATATATATATATATATATATATATATATATATACACACACATATATTCCTCTAAATTACAGCCATAGATTTTCCTTCAAAGCATTGGATACTTTAAAAGCGGGCTGAAGATACAGGTGAGGGGAAGGAAGGCAGCAAACCACACTGCCATGTGTGTACCTATGCAACAATCTTGCATGTTCTTCACATGTACCCCCAAACCTAAAATGCAATAAAAAAAAAAAAGCGGGTTGATTTGTGTGTGTTTTAGAGTAAACAGCTCAGTATGTGAAAGAGACTTAGTATCTTGTCAATTATCCTACCTTTCCAAATCCCCTGGTGGGCGAAGGTGCTGGAGAAACTGGAGTGAAGTCAATTCTCTTAGGAGAATATAATTTCTCCTGCTTGTCAAAATCACTATCACTCTGTAAACATAAAGTGTCATCTCCTCATAATAAATTCAGCACATCACAGCTCTTATTTACTACTATAACACACCCAGATTTTCCAAGGAAAAAGGTATACACTCTAATATTCAGCTGGAAAAGCAGAGATCAAAAAACAAGTATCAATTTGGAAGTAGAAGGGGGCAGAAGTGTACGAAAAACATTAATGAAGCCAGTGAGCAACATAAAAGTTTCTAGAAAAGGAAAACCAAACAGCCGTGAGCAAACTTTACCAGGCTCAAGCTCTCATCCCAAGATTGGCTTATCTGCATTGCCGATTGCATTTCCCTAAAATAAACAAAGGGAAGGGCCATCAGTGTTTACAAACAAGACACTTATTAGCAGAGGCCCTGCTCTTGTGAAGAACTAACCTTTCATGTGCAGTTTCTCTGTTCATCATATCCAGGCCTTCTTCCTGCAAAGACAAACATGTGCTAAAAAGGCAGGATCGCTGACCAAATATTAACTCCTCCACACACTGTAATTTTAATCCACATAGTTCTCTGCTTCAAATAAAATACAAAGACTTTTCTACCTCATTTGACATAGTCACAGGACAGCAGAACATTCATGCCACTTGTATATTTTATCTGCATGCTCCAGAAGATTTATAATGTCTCCAACTAACCAGACTTGCATCCTAACTCATTTTAATATCTAAATCTTCAAAATAAAAATGTAAAACTCAAGAAACGTCCGATCTGAGCTAGTAAGTAAAATTTACCCTTTTGATCTGATGCAATCTGCTACTAGTAATACGATTAGGTGAGGATGACAGCAACTGCAAAGAAAAAGTAAACATTTACTATTTTCTGAATCACAAAGCAGCAGTCTGCTGTCAGTACTGGTGTACAACCTCTTCCTAGGTAAGTTTTCCTATTCTTCTTCGAAATTCAGCTCTTTAGATCACTGAACATTAATGCACTAGAGGCAGTACATTCAGTCTTCAAAAAGTACACCAGGTGTCCAACCTCAAAGCACCATCTGTTGCTAGACAGACACTGACATCAGCACTTTTCCCAAATGAATGTGAAGCTACGTAAATTTAGAGAAATAAAGACTTTGGGCCTTAGAAACATCCCTTACCCCACTTATCTAAAAGAAAGAACTATATGAGAAGGGAAAGAAAAAAAAAAAACACCAATGCTATTAATTTTTATTACCAATGCAGCAATGGGCAAGACAGGCTAATAAGTCTAGTATGTAGTATTTTGTCTATGATGGATGTTTTTCAAAAACACTTTAAAACTGCAATGAGGAGATTTGGCTTACATGATCCAAATCCGTTCTAAAACCTGATCACATGCTATCACTACAAACCTTACTAGTTAAAAAACAACAATCTGGAAAGATGAGGTCTCTCTTTAAAATAACTGATACTTTCCCTTAGATCACGGTTTTTTTTGTAACACAAAGCAGAAAAGATTTGGGGGCCAAATTATGTTCCTTCACAACAATTACAAGCTGGTCACAAACTGCAAGACACAATTTATATCAACGGGTCTTAGAGATTTCTATCGGTCACAATATTAACAACTACTATTTATTCTATAATGAAATGCAAATGAATTTGTAATATTATAAAACCAAATAACAATTATCCTGTTTAAGAGGCCCTATACTTAAAATTTTTTTGAATACTAATGTAGTGAGCAGTATAAAATGGTGATAAAATGCTCTAAGTTTCTTTAGGCAAAGGCTAATTCAGGTAAAATTTGTAAATTATCCACTAAAATATGACTACCACAAAAGATAATCATTCATCACCCACCCGTTTTAGTTTTTCCTCTATCAGGCTTTGAAAAGGGAAAATCTTTAGCAGTAAAATCCATTTTCAAGTAGTTTTTCTACTAATGGAAATAATACATGTTTACTGGTGAACTTTTTTTTTTCTTTAAAGACGGAGTCTTGCTCTTTTGCCAGGCTGGAGTGCCACGGCGCAATTGCAATCTCGGTTCACTGCAACCTCCACCTCCTGAGTTCAAGCAATCCCCCTGCCTCAGCCTCCCGAGTCGCTGGGACTGCAGGCATGTGCCACTACGGCTGCTAATTTTTTGTATTTTAGTAGAGAGGGGTTTTCACCATGTTGGCCAGGATGGTCTTGATCTCTTGACTTCGCGATCCACCCGCCTCACCTCCCAAAGAACTGGGATTACAGCTGTGAGCCACCTCGTCCGGCCACAAGAACAGTATTTAATGGAGTTGCGGCTGAAGCACCATGACTAAAAACTGACAAGAAATGAGGAGACAAGGAAATAGAGGCAGTGGAGTGCAGGTTATGCTCTGAAAGAGCTTGGAAAAAGGAACAGGGAAGGAGAGACCTACGAAAAAGAAAATGGTTTGTTTTCCCCCATCAGATGTGTGAGTCTGGAGAAAGTGGAAAGAAGAGAGTCTGTGAAAAATAGGGAAGATACAAGACAGAGAGGAGATGACGGACCGAGCAAAGCAACAGGAGAGTCAAAAGCATATGTAGTTGGAGAAGAGAATTTGAGAGGATTGGTAGTTTGAAAAAAAGAAGATGAATTCTTTGGGACATATTGGATTTACGGTACCCCTGGCCCCATGATATTAGGGAGAAATGCCGTATGTGAAGGTAAAGGTATTTCAAGGCAAAGAAAGCTGACATTTACACAAGATGGGTGTCTGTCTTCTTTGTGAAGTAAGAAGGGTCATCTGCTCAACGTACAAAGTGGTGACACTAGAAGCTGATAAAATCTTTAAAAAAAAAAAATTGAGACTATTGCTTTGAAGAATATCATGGGGCCAGAGGCACCTAAAATCCAATATGTCCCAAAGAATTCATCTTCTTCCTCCTGAACCTACCAATTCTCTCAATTTCTCTACTTCTTCTAAAGGCAGCACCAATTCCCTGTTCACCAACATACAAAATTTCCATCACTTGGAATCTTCCTTGTCCTAGTCCTTATATCTAATCAGCTGATGAGCCATGAAGATCCTATATCTGCATATCCAGTCCACTTCATCTGTCAACACCTTACTCATCACAGGTTACTACGGGACACAGATAAGCATGTTAAGATTTATAGTGCACACTGTGATAGAGTGTAAACAGTATCATTAATATTATGATAGTTGTGGAAGCCTGCCCTGAGGAGATATAAGGATTAAATTGAGTTTTGAGAGACCAAAAAGCTAGAAAGGAGAGGGGCAGGAATGAAAAGATTCATCGGGATCCACAAAGAGCAGTGAGTCACCATGGCCCTTTCAGAAAACTAGGTATTTCAGTGAGAGATCAACGTGGACTACGGTTGATAAAAATCTTCTCATCTTACAAAAGACGTAAGTGAAGTGCAGAAAGGCAAATTCACTTTCCCTTCTTTGCTATGCTACTGTTATCAGGAGCATGGCTGTATAACATGTATAAAAATTTTTCATATATCCAGCAAAAATAAGCAGTATTTTCCAGTATCCTAAGAGAAGGAGGTGAAGTGAATCAAACCTCCAGATAGCAAACATTTCCCCCATAAGTATTTTTAGCCGTTTCAGTTGGAAATCTTTCTAAAATATGTTCTATTGTTCCCTTTCTTCAACAAATTCTACCTATCAGAATGGCACTGGGAGATCTCTATTCTAATCCTAGTTCTGCCGTTTACTAATTGTGTGATTCTAAGCGAGTCACTTACATCGTCCTGAGTTTTAGCTGCTGCTGCTTTTAATTGGGAAAAATATCTTTGCCCTCCCTATTTCATAGGGGTTGTTATGACAATTAAATGTGTGAAAGTACTTTGTAATATGTAAAATATAAGTGTAGGTATTACTAGAATTTATGAATAAGTTAATGACCCAGGTATCCTTAAGAACATTATTATATGATTCTACACCAGTGACATGCTTGCGGTGTACTAACAGGCTCTTAGCCTTTATAGTAATTAGCCACAAACTAATTTTTTAAAAACCTGTGTTTTTCCATGTTTCCCTCTCCTCCCTTGCTAGCAGCTATTAGTATACTTTTAACCAAAATGCATCTCTTCTAATTTGCTGCTTCGCACACACTATTGGATTGGAAGCTTATTATAATTGTGCATACATTTTAGATGATTCAGAGGTCAGAGGCTCTCCTATAAATAAACCGATGAACCTCTGTGCACAGACTATGGAAATCTAGTTCTGCCATTTAGGGATCTGTCTTCTTGTATCTCAGATGCCTTCCAGAGAATTGAAGCTGCTGGATAAGTGAGGTCTACATGTGAACTGCTACTATATATATACAAAAAAACAAAAACCTCGTCATAATTTCTCCCAATGCGACCAACTAATACAGCCATCCCTGGCAGCTCTGGCTAGAGATCAGTCACAATCAATAACTCTTCAGAGAATATAAATATGAGCATTTTTAAAGGCGTCTTCATTTCGGAAAACCGGCATTGTTTAACAGGTTAAGTGTCAGCCACACACACTCTGCTGCCTTTCAAGTGATTTGTGTATCCTAGGACAAATGAAGACCACTGTTCTCAGCTATAATTAGGAGTTAATCCTGACTTACCTCACAAGCATGATGCAAATAGTGACAAATAACAATGCACCATTTTAAAAAAATACAAGATCCCACGGCAAAGAAAAATGTTTAACCATGTATCCTTTTTGTACCAAAGCTGAAGGGCCACAGCATATGCAGTAAACAAGGTAGGTAAAAATCAATCTTTTCTTTCCTAAACAGTTGTGTATAGCACATCATTTTAAGAAAGAACTACATTTCTAAGTATTTTCCTCAATCTAAATCACATTAGATACTTACTTCTATACTTACCAAGCTGTGACTGCTCATAATCGTTGTACTATTCCTCCGAGTTCTCGTGTAAGGTTGAAAAACCTGTGAAAGGATCACTGAAAAAGAAAAACAAAATTAGTAATATATTCTAAGGGAAGATCTCTTTCAAATAGATTAGCATCAGTTCTCTAGTTAACAACGAAATCTTCCATGTCTCCTCGTTTCATACAGAGAATGAACTCCTCACCGTCCTCTCTGCAGAGCTTCCCAAGTGGTATGCTGTGGATTACAGGTTTACAGAGATACTGATCTCAGTGGTCGGGGGGCAGCTGGGAGAGGTGGTGCAGGCGGAGCTCCAGACTGGTTGACTCTAGCTGCTTCTGATCAGAGCTACACCCCCAAACCGGTTACCACCAGACCTGAGCAGCCTCATCTGTTTACCCTAGAGGACCAACGAGTTCTGTTTTCTGTGTATGCCATGACACGAAAACAGGTGAGGAGCACTGTTCTACAATACGAGGTGGATCAAGACATCGCCCCCTCTCACCTAAACGTGCGCCTTACCTTTGAACCCTGCTGTTCGACTGAATAAACATACCTGAGCTCATTGCCCCTTCTGCCTCAAATGCTGTCCCTCCTGCCACCATCTAATAAAATCCTTCCATATCCATCTTGAATGCCATGCCCTCCAGTGAAGACATGGCACAAACCTCTCTTCATTCCACAAACGAAATGCAATCACTCCCCTCTTTGAACCCAAAAAGTACACTGGGAGATGAGATGCTTCTTGAGACACCGATTTTGTCTCTTAATAAAGAGAAATGTACATATGTCTTAAACCCATTGCTACAGAGGTGTTTTATTCATCTTTGTATAATATCCCTGCAGTGCCTAGCCGAGGGCGATGCCCACAATAAGGATGAGAGTTCAAGAAGGATTTTCAGAACTGAACTGCAGTGGGCTTCCAGAGCCCACTGAGATCACCTATTTCAGCTCTCTTGATTTTCAAATGAGAAAACAGACTCAGAAAGGTTAAATGACTCATTCGTGATCATAGCTAGTCAGTGAAAACTGGGACCAGGCCTGGTATCCTCGCTCCTTCTTGTGTCACATCATGCTATGTTTTCAGTGATTACTTAAATCATGATTCAAAAAACAGCATGTTTTTGCTACAATAGTCTTAAGTGCAGGTCAATGGAATTGCTGAAGTCCCTAGCAATTGCTTGCTTACCAGATTTCAAAAGACAACCAGAAAAAGACCAGTTTATTGTTATAGTAACAAAATAAATGCAGGGCCAAGGACAGCAACAGAAAAGCAAAAAGTCACTCCTACATTCCCTCAGTTTCAAAATTATATTTCATAAATGAAAAACTCAACGTTTTTTCCCCGAAATATGGATGTTGTAATCAGTTCAACAGCAAGGATTATCTCGTTCTTTGCTTTCACTGTGCTTGATTAATATGTTTTTGGCTAATTATACTCTCATCTCCTTTTTTGGATTAATGCCATTTCTACAGGGTCTCGAAAATTGGCTTTCTACCTAAGATGAATCGTCTACTGACAAAAGTGAAATACAATAGGCTCGGGAGGTGAGCCAACCTAACCTTCACTATTACAAGATGCTACCTTAAAATAGACCCTCGGTGATTTATTCATATGAAAACACAAGACCCTACCACTGAAATTCAAGAGTTGATTCTCTTCATTGTTTTCTAAAAGCTGTCTTTTTACTGACCCTAAGCTACAGACCACCCTCTCTTTTTTTTAATTCACTGCAATGCATTTCAGGCAGTTTTAGAACCTGAAAACATCAGGACAAATCCAAATCGCGTACTATGATGTGAACATACCACTTAATTACAATTTATTAGATAAACTGTGATTTATTAAAGTAAACCTCTGTTAATGCCAGGATTCCTAAACTAAGCTTAGAAATAGCAGCTCTGAGAAACAGGTGTCAAGTTGCACGTCCAGTTCCAGGGGCTTCGGTCTGACATTCCCTGGTGTAAGTTAGTCAAGGCAAGCAACCTGTCAGAAGAGCCAGAAGCTTTCTGCAGTTCCTTTTGACAGTGGGACAACACGGCCCCAGGTAGAGGGGGACCGTTTCCTCCACAATGCCCAAAGTTGGAGGTCAAACTTTCACTCCACCCTGGGACCCATCACCGTCAAGCAAACAAATCGCCACCCCCTCAGGTTGAAGAGCCCAAATGAGCGCAAACGTGCACTTCAGGGAAGGAAGATTGCTTGCACGAGGGCAAGGAGCCCCTGAACCCTGTATTCCATCCTCCCCAACCCTGCTCACCTGAGTCCATGGATTAGGGGAGCACTGCTGGATCTCCTCAGGGTTCCCCCATCAGCTGTGTTAGGCTCAAAGTCCAGCTCCATTTTCTCCTGAGCCATGTCAGACTTGCAGGCAGGCACAGCGGGCAGTGCTCAGCTCCTGGTGCTTAGCTATGGACTCCCAAGACTCTCACTGCAGGACTGAGCTGCTGGGGACTGGCAGCTGGGGGCGGGGGCTAAGGGGCGGAGGCTTGGGGCGGGGGCGGGGGCTGGGGGCGGAGAAAAGTAGGAGAGGAGGAGGAGGAGGAGGGAAGGAGGATGCTGATGAGGAAGGGAGGATGATGGTGAGGCAGGGGAGGAGGACGGAGAGGTAGTGGTGGAAGGCGACAGAATGAAGGAAAAGGATGGAGGAAAGAGGAGGATGGAGGGGAAACAAGGATGGAGGGAGGAAAGAAGAGGGAGGGAAAAGATAGATGGAAAAGCAGCAGGACAGAGAGGATAAGAGGAGAAGGGCAGAGGGGGGGAAAGGGAAGGGAAGGGGGTGAGGCAAAGGAAGGGGGCGGGGGACGGAAGGGAAGGAAGAGGGCAGAGGGGAGGGAGGAGGGCAGAGGGAAGGGGAAAGAGGAGCGCAGGGGCAGGAGGAGGAGGTCCGGGGAAAAGGAGAGGGGAAGGAGAAGGACAGAGGGAGAGGAGGTGGGGGAGGAAGCTAGGCAGCGGCGGAACTCATGCTGCTCTTTCCGGCTGAGGACCACAAGCGGGGCCCGGCTACAGATGCTGCGGCTGCCCGGGCAGCGCTAGCACCGAGGACCTGACATTCGGGTGGGACCCGGCCAGGCGGCCTTGGCGGCTCCAGCTCCCCATTCTCGGGGACCCGGTCCAGCCCCCCATGCTCCCGGACCCTGTCCCGGAGGCTCCTCAGCCCTGGGGTCGATGCTTCTCCCCTCCCTGCCCCCCTCCCGCCTCGAGGACAGGTTGGGGGTTCGGCCTCTCAGCCGCCGCCGCGGTGCCTCCTCTTCCTGTCTCGGGTTCTAATGGCCTGGGGGAACTAGTTGGGGCTAAGACCGAAATCTACAACCTGCAGTATTTTCCGCCTCCCACGCTTCAGAAGCGGGAACCTCCGCGGGGCCAGTTCTTCCGCGTCCGGGCACCCATCGGGTCCTGCGCACGCGTCCAGCGGCCACTCCAATGGGCCCGCGGGCACGGAGCGTGCGTGGGAGCCCCGCCTCGAAATCCGCCTCCAAAGGGGAGGAGCGTTTCCAGGGGGCCCGTCGTCTTCCTCGATGGCATTGGCCTGGGGACCCTGGCGCCCAATTTTAAAAAGAACCAATAGTTTGGAAAAGCTGGAGCATCAGCTTTCAGGAAGACTTTGGGCCAATATTCATGGGAAATACAGAAAAACATGGGGTTTCCACGTTATTTCACTCCCAGTGTGTACGCTCCGACCTCTGTTATCCCCATTCATGCCCTAAATCCCTCGATTTTGTCAGTCTGTGTCTGGAGAGGCTGATTTCTTTTTCATATCATCCATTTGGATGCACTAGACAAAAGAGAAGTGGGAAAACAAAAGCAATGGATAAAAATAAAGCGAGCGTCATGAGATTTCGTATAGCTAATGAGAAACTCAGCTCCATTTTGCAAGCACCTTTAGCGTCAACAAAACTGGGAAAAGTCCTCCTGAAAAACAGGTACCAAGCAGAACCAAATGTTTTTTCTTACTAGGAGTGACAGAATCCCTGACAATCATGACCCAGAGTGTCAGATTTGGATTTCTTTTCTTTTCTTTCTCTTTTCTTCTTTTTTTGAGACAGAAGCTGGCTCTGTCACTCAGGCTGGAGGGCAGTGGCGCGATCTCAGCTCACTGCAACCTCCACGCCCCGGCCCGGGTTCAAGTGATTCTCCTGCCTCAGCCTCCTGAGTAACTGGGATAACCGGTGCCCGCCACCCGCCACCACGCCTGGCTAATTTTTTGTATTTTTAGTAGAGACGGGGTTTTCCCATGTTGGCTGGGCTTGGTCTCCAACTCCTGACCTCAGGTGATCTGCCCGCCTCGGCCTCCCAAAGTGCTGGGACTACACGTGTGAGCCACTGCGCCCAGACGAGATTTCGATTTTGTATTTCACAAACACCTACACAGCACTTGTTATGTGCTAGGCACTATTCTAAGAGTTTTAGAAATATTAACTCTGTCCAGGGTGTGACTGGCCAGTGGTGCAGGCGCTAAAGAAATATACCAAGACAGTCATAGATAATGAAAGGCAGATTTATTAGAGAAGATATGAAAATGCATTGCAAGGATGCAATGGGCAGCACTGCAATGGAGGAGCTGTCTGCAAAGAGGCAGGGGCTGGAGGGAAGTTTTATAGGGTCATGTTGGAGGGAGGGAGGTGCAGAAACAGGTTATGCTGCTGGAGCCATTGTGTGGAATGTGTGCCCTCCGTTTGTTTGTATTCATTGTTCTTCCCCTCCTGGGGCCCACCTCACCCTTCTCATTGTTGCTTACTTCTGAGGACTCCACATCCCACCCCCGCAACAACCGTCAGATTTGGCATTGGGGCTGAGGTCTCATCTTCCAACTGCTTCCTGCTGACCAGGGTGTAGAGTTGACCCTACCTATGGTTGTTGGTCTGTCAGAAGACCCCGTGGGTCATTGTCCCAGATTGTGGGACCTAGGATATTGAATCTTGCTGGAGGAAAGGACTCATCACAGAGTGGGAGTGTGTTAAGGCAACACTGGTGACCAGCTGAATCCCGGGGAGACTCATAAAGGTAGCAGGCATCATTGGGGAGAGACTGATATCCCATTCACAGCATCATGTGAAAGTGAAACTGCTGAATTCTAGAAGATAAAAGTTTGTTTCTTAAGCCAGCTACTGAAAGGGGGGATGGAACACAAAACCATTTGCAGTGTGACTGTTTTTCCTTATTGGAAGCCCATTTAGATAGCCTGAAAGTTAAACTTGGTGAAAAAGTGTTTAAATTTAATTAGACACAGTAGGAGTGTATCCAGAGTTATGAATATAGCAAGCAAATACATTACTCTTAGGAAGATCATGAAAAGTTTTTTGTTATTACATTGATAATTTAGACTTTTTGTTTGAGAAAGAGTCTTGTTCTGTCGCCCAGGCTAGAGTGCAGTGGCTTGATCTCGGTTCACTGCAATCTCTGCCTCCTGGGTTCAAGCAATTCTCCTGCCTCAGCCTCCCGAGTAGCTGGGACTACAGGCACCCGCCACCAAGCCCGGCTAACTTTTTTTGTGTTTTTAGTAGAAATGGGTTTTTGCCATATTAGTCAGGATGGTCTGAAACTCTTGACCTTGTGATCTGCCCACCTCAGCCTCCCAAGTTGCTGGGATAACAGATGTAGGCCACCGTGCCCAGCCGAGAATTTAGACATATTTTTAAAAGCCAAGGGTACAGAATTAAGTTATATTAGAGGAATACATTGCTTAATTCTTTTTGATTTTCAAGATGAAATATTTGAGCATTAGGCCATAACAACAGAACTGGAGGAAAAAGTTACAGGAACTGACAAAAAATAAAGGAGAGTTATTATCTTCAGCCTTCTCCAGGGGAGAAAAAGCTGAAAGCAGCAGGCACAGCGAAAGTTGAACTGAGGTATTATTCTGTGACGCTTTAACTTCTTACAATTTTATTAAGAGCAGATTAATACCTTAAGAAAAGCCGTGGTGGTAAAGGCCTATAATCCCAGCATTTTGAGAGGCCAAGGCAGGAAGATCACCAGGTCTACAGTAGAGACCATCCTGGTAACACGGTGAAACCCCGTCTTTACTAAAAATACAAAAATTAGCCGAGTGTGGTGGTGCACACCTGTAGTCCTAGCTACTTGAGAGGCTGAGGCAGGAGAATGGCTTGAACCCAGGAAGCAGAGATTTCACTGAGCTGAGATAACCCCACTGCACTCCAGCCTGGCAACAGAGGAAGACTCCGTCTCAGAAAAAAAAAAAAAAAAAAAAAAAGAAGAAGAAGAAAAGAAAAGAAAAAAAGAAATAAAACCTTGTTTTTAACACAGGTAACCAATGTTAGACTATCCTAAATAATTCCCTTTCAATTATAACCAACTTAAACACATACACAATTCTTACATAACTTCTTTGCAAACCTTCTCAGGATTTACACAGACCCATTTATGTCATGGGCTTTCTGACCCGGGCATCAGGACTTTCTGACTTGTCCTGAACATTCCTCTTTCCTAAACAACTAGTCATTTTACTTTAGGACAAAAATTTATCATACAAGGTCCTTTCTTGGCCAGGTGCGGTGGCTCATGCCTGAAATCCGAGCACTTTGGGAGGCTGAGATGGGTGGACCACTTGAGGTCAGGAGTTCAAGACCAGCCTGGCCAAATGTGAGAAGTAAAAAAAGTTTATCTTCAATGTTTCCTTTCTTGTTTAAGAAAAATTCATAAATGTTAGAAATAATAGTTTGGTTTTTTAATTGCATTTTAGGTTTTGGGGTACATTTGAAGAACATGCAAGATTGTTGCATAGGTGCACACATGGCAGTGTGATTTGCTGCCTTCCTCCCCTTCACCTATATCTGGCATTTCTCCCCATGCTATCTCTCCCCAACTCCCCACCCCTCACTGTCCCTCCCCCATTTCCCCCCAACGGACCCCAGTGTGTAGTGCTCCCCTCCCTGTGTCCATGTGTTCTCATTGTTCAACACCCGCCTATGAGTGAGAACATGCGGTGTTTGATTTTCTGCTCTTGTGTCAGTTTGCTGAGAATGATGGTTTCCAGGTTCATCCATGTCCGTTTTAAACACCTTCTTCAGAAGCCCTCTTGCCTTTTTGATAGAAGCCCTATCCTATTTGCTGTTAGACATGATTACAGGCACGTAGTACAATCTATGTCCTCATACTTTAACCAAAATATCTGTGCTGGGCGTGCTCACAGGCATGTCCCAGCTCGCAGCCTGTGTCCCTTCCTCTTTTTTGCTCTCCATTGCCTTTATCTGTTTAGAAAAGTTTCAAGTTATTAGACAATCGGGTTTTAGTTTAGATTATGAGGTCTGGCTCCAGCCAATGGAGATCAGACACAGCAGTAAGGACAACCCCAAATACAGAAGAATTAAATACGTCTGCTTTCCTTTGTTCGTTGTACTCTTGTGGCAAGATTGCTAGTGACAGTATCATTTCTACAGGAAGTAAAAAGAATTGCTTTGCTGAGAGATCCTTTGTCCCAGTACGAATTTTTCTTTGTAGCACCAAAAAGAAAAATTTTATACGTAACACCA